CTCTCTGTCGACTACAAAGTCCGAACACACTGATGAGTCCCACATAATTTGGACGTGTTTTTGAGTCTTGTTTGGATTCGGATTTGGGAGTTGTTTGGCTAGTTGGACTCATGTTTGGATTCGAATTGCGGAGTTGTTTGGCTACTTGGACTGGAATTTAAGGGAGGCTATAAATAAAGATTGCTAGCTAGGGTTTCTTTATGTATATTTGGCAAGAAATTTTGATATTTGTTTCGGCTTCATAAGGAAAAGAGATTAGTGTTTCTACTCTGCTCCATCTTCATTGTGACATCTTGATAAATAATGGATTATCAATCTCGTCGGTTGTGGACGTAGACATCTTGCCGAACCAAGATTAATCATTGCCTTCTCTTTGTGAGATGGTTGCATGTCCGCGTTTGTCTCTACAGTAACTGTTCTCAACATTTTTATGCGCATGCAAAACTCATGTAATTGTGTAATTACTATATGTTTGACTACATGTCTAATCATGTGCGTGGTCTATGGATGTCCTTGTAAAGTTTGAGACGGAAATTAATTTCATTCATGCCATTGCTATGACAAACCAACATGTCATGATGTTTCGAAACGATTTCAAATGATACCCTCTTTAGCTACTTCTTGAACTACTCATTTTGTCTTAGTGCGAATCTTGACCCCTTTGTGCAAAATTCAAAGATGCTACTTCTCCAACTATTCATGGGGAATACCGCGAGTCTTAGATTTAAAATGATATGAAAATTAATCACCAGATAAATTAATGGGTTCGATGAAAATGGAAAAATTTGCAAAATAGACCTATTTTGTTAAATGATTTAATCCCCCATTAAATCATACGGGACTACTAGTCTCGTATGTTTCGAATGTTCCGCTTTGCAAAATCGATCTCTTTTTGGCCTGTTGGCCAAAAAGATGTCTATTTTGCTAAATATTTAGCAAAACGGTCTGTTTTGCTAAATATTTAACAAAATAGGTCTATTTTGCAAATTTCTTCAAAATATCTTCGATTAAAGGTGTTCGGGTTTTTTAATAGCTGTCTAATATCTCAAATATACCACGTCTGATGGCCCCCTAACTGTACAAAAACACATCAATAATGATGATTATTTCATCTTGCTCATTTGGAGATGAAAATGTGAAAACCTTAATAATGGATATTTGTATTATGAAATAAAAGCATATACCTTCACATGCCGAGGGATCTCTACGCATCTCATCGCCCCCTCCAAACTCTGCAGACCCCATCCCTCGGAAGTTGGAACGCCAACTTATCTCACCAACTTGTAGGTAACGGTACTTAATTATAAATTCCAATCCCATTTATTTTAATGGGTTTTATTTATTTATTTGTCAAGAATTTGCTTAGTAGGATAGCCATCCACATCATCAAGTGAAACTTATGAAAGAATAGACCAATTGAAAGATATATTAGATCTAATTAACTCACACCAACAATGTGACGTTAGCCTTGCATCTCCCCCTCACCAAAAGATCCATGGAACCTTCTTTTATTTATCTTTTTTGGTGAAGGTTGTAGGATGTATTATGGATAAATCAAGCAAAAATTAACCTATTATCTAGTTAGTTGTTTGGGATAAATTATGGCACTGTTTGGCAACCAAAAAAAATATCTTATCTAAGAGCTTGTGTCTTATTGACTTGGTCAATAAGCTAGTAGAGCTGTTTGGTGACAAAAAATAAGAGGAGATTATTTTAGAGATTGTGTCTTTTGCAAGTAGTTTTTGAAAAACTACCTCAAGTAGCGTTTGTCTTTAGGAAGGAGCTGCCAATTTTTGTCTTCCGTTTTTGCCCCTAATAATTCTAATTTTATATCAATAATATTGCATGTCTTTTTTAGTCATTTAACAAACTTAAGCTAGTTGTACAGCTACTTTTGCCAAACAGCTCTAGTCAATCAGCTAGCTACACAGCTAACAGCTTTCAGCTACAATTTCATAGCTTTCAGCTAGCTTAACAGCTTTCAGCTATAATCTCGCAGCTTTCAGCTAGTTTTGCCAAACAGAGCCTATAGATAAATTCAAATCTTTTACCCTCAGACGAAGAAAACATCATTTCTTAACAAACAGACCTCCTGAAGATAAAGGAGCCAAAAAAATCACAAATTTGCAATAATAAAATTACAGCAGATAAACAATCGCAGCTTTCAGCTAGTTTTGCCAAACAGAGCCTATAGATAAATTCAAATCTTTTACCCTCAGACGAAGAAAACATCATTTCTTAACAAACAGACCTCCTGAAGATAAAGGAGCCAAAAAAATCACAAATTTGCAATAATAAAATTACAGCAGATAAACAATAAGAAATCAGTGAGATTATTTGGATTGAAGCTGGACAGCCTAACGGTGGTTACCGCAAATAGACAGGCAAAGGGCCACTTGATAAATAGCAATCGGAGAGGTGTCCACATCAAAGCCAGCTCCTAAACTAGGAACTAACAAAATGTAATTCCACATCAAAGCCAGCTCCTAATCTTGATCATGAAAAGAACTCGTGCCTTTAAAGCGAGTATGATATATATTCCTCCAAAATTGGTGTGTTTAGGTTTAAGAACGTGTAGATCAAGTTCAACGGAGCGGATCGCAAAAAAAAAAAAAAGGAATGATGTGATTTTAGGCCGCGTCCTTAGGTGGGAATATACGTCAATCCTATCAATAAAATGAATGAATGTCCTCTTTATCTTGAGCTAAAATTTAGTCTACAGGAGAAAATCTCCTTGTACCAAAATGGCAAAATCTTTTAAAGTTCAACATATAAAAAAAATTCAAAATATTTGTCTACCCTTCCCTAAAAAAATGTTGTGCAATTAATCAAAGACTAGCCAGCTTACTCAATCCTTGTGAAGAATTATGAGGCTCTCCAACTCCATCTAGTCTAGAACACTCTGAAAAAGGTGAATAAAACACATGAGTTCACAACTCATGTGAATTCAATAAGTGGATAAATTTATACATTAAACTTTGGTTCGGCGAAACCCATAATTTTTTATGAGCAAAATATTAAGACTATAAAATCATCAATGAACTTTTAAACTTGATGTGACATTTTAAAAATATAAATTCATGCAATGTAAAATAAGCAGGCTAGGTCTTAGTACGGTCAACACCTCCTACTCCTGTTGACTTGGTAACCCCACAAGCATTAAGCCTATGGTTTCTAGACGGTGAGACCCAAAATTTGAGTTTGTAGCGCTAATGAAAACCTCATAGGGACACATGAGCCCTGTTTAGATGAACTTACTTATTTTCGACATATATTAGTATATTGACATTTAGATGCATAGGTTTTCAATAAATGAACAAAAGTTCATACAACCAAATTCTTTATAAAAGAACCAAAGGCAAACCAATGGTGAAAATCAAACCACATGCATCTCAATCAACCTACTACTATGTGAAAAAGACATGATTGTCGTTAAAGAAATAAACTGAATACTTGTGTCATCATAAAACACGATTAAACCAACAACAGATACTCGAGCAAAATCATATAAAACTATATAACTAATCACAGAATAGCTTCACACATACATAGGATAACTTCTGATGAAAAACTGCATAGTGCACAATGCATAAATCACCACTTACCGTAACCTGAAAGACGATCCAAATTCGACTCACGAAGCTTCTGCGAAAATCCCTAAAGAATAATGCACATACTCATCAGTATATAACATCCCGCTGCTATATGCTAAAGCAAAGAAGAACTAATTAATATACTAGATAAACTGCACTCTACATTTTTATTTTAACCTAGTATACTTGTTTGTCCCCCTATGTATTCAAACTTAATAAGCAACCTAACCTCTGAAGTCTGAAACAAATAACCGAACTTGTATGCATTTATCTCTTCAACAAGGAATTTAATTCATGGTTAGTAATCTTATGCATATGTACAGTTCAAAGGTATGCTCCAGAAAGGTGTTTCATGTGGCGAAGTTTAGCATCAACTATCGTACAAGACCCAACTAGGTAGGTGAAGACTTGGCCAAGAAGCAACGCTAATACAATAAGTAATAAATTTATAGACAACTTACCCTATCGAGATCGAAGTATGGCTGCGATCTCCGGAGATAGATATCGAAGAGCGCGGGAATGAAACTGAAGCCAGCTTGTCAGGAATCTACAAACCCTAATAAAATAATATTTCATTCTTTTCTTTATGACTAGGGGTAACTAGGTTTAGACTTTAGATTTTCCTTTTGTTTCTCATTGAGGAAAGCTGTGTGTTTGCCTGTTGAGGCTGCGGATATAGATAGGTCAGTGTTTGTTTTGACTTTATTTAAGTTCACATTCTTCAGTAACATCCCTCAACTAATTGTAATTACATATGTTATTATAGATACAGCTATCATATGCATAAAATGGCCTTCTGTAATATATTATTTCATGGTTTGATATATACTTAAACTCAGTACATTAAATAAGCACTAAATATACTATTATATTTTTTATTAAGTGAAAAATTAGGGTGACTACACAATATGTACTGTACGCTCATTACTCCACATTTTTACTAAAAGTATGTTGCATTAGGATCTTGTGCTAGTAATTCTGAATCCTTTAAATTCGAAAAGCTTCTTTCGACCTTTCTACTTTATAGATTATCTCCTCCCTGATCTCATTAATTAATTGTACATAATCAACAAGTAACACACACCATGAGACGTTTTATATGTTCATAAAGTTGGTCCTTCACCAATGCAGATATTAAGGGTTGTAAGTCTATGGTAATAAAAAAGAGTTGTCTCTCCTTTATCTTGTTCTCACCCCAATTGTTACTCTACCATACATATCCATCAATATACGTGCTATACTAGATACATATTTCTTTTCGAAAACCACCACATTATTTTCTAGGCACTCTATTAGAATCACTTTCTAGATTAACTGAAACTATATAAATCTACATTCTTCTAAATTTTAATTGATCTATATTATTTTTGCCTCATTAAAAAGCATTGGGGTCTCAATATCAGTTTTGTTACTCCTTTATCTATGTTCTTATGTTTATTTTGTTGCTCGTTCCAGCGTTTCACTCGTCTTGGTGGAAAACTTCCAAAGGGTGTCTTGCTTGTTGGCCCACCTGGCACAGGGAAGACTATGTTAGCAAGAGCTATCGCAGGAGAAGCTGGTGTTCCTTTCTTCTCATGCAGTGGTAGTGAGTTTGAGGAGGTGTATGTGGGTGTTGGAGCTAGGAGAGTAAGAGATCTATTTGCTGCTGCAAAGAAAAGATCCCCTTGCATTATTTTCATCGATGAGATTGATGCAATTGGTGGACGCCGCAATCCCAAGGACCAACAATACATGAGGATGACCCTAAATCAGTTGTTGGTTGAGCTAGATGGTTTTAAGCAGAATGAGGGGATCATTGTCATTGCTGCTACTAATTTCCCAGAGTCATTGGATAAAGCACTGATCCGACCTGGGCGTTTTGACCGTAACGTTGTTGTTCCCAATCCAGATGTGGAAGGTCGACGGCAGATTCTAGAATCTCACATGTCAAAGGTACCCATTTTCTTTCCTTACATTCTAGATCTTGTAACTTTCCTATCCGTTACTGTATGTCACCGGTTCATGCTCTTCTTGGTTAGTTTTGTTAGTGTTAAAATTTGAAAGTATAACCCTTCAACCATCACTACAATTCTGGAGATTCAGCACGGTATAAGGGATTTTTAACAATCCGATTGGCCACATATTTAAACATATCTACGAAAAAGGAGAAACCACTATGTGAGTCAGCTTCGGCCCATGAATGCGTTCGACATGCAGAAATGTTATAAAATAACAATCCTCAATCGTCACAACAACTTGGGAGTGTTGGTGAAGTTGATTGAACTTTTAACATGTAGTGTCCAATATATCTTTGTCATAGGATGTTCATCTATCGAAACTAAAATTTTTATACTATTAATCTTCATTGTTTATGCAGTAGTAAGTCCCTTGAAATGGTTTTTGTGCAGATCCTGAAGGGAGAGGATGTAGATCTTATGATCTTAGCCAGAGTTACCCCTGGCTTCTCAGGTGCAGATCTCGCGAACCTTGTGAACATAGCTGCAGTCAAGGCAGCAATGGATGGGGCTAAATCTGTCACAATGGCTGATCTCGAATATGCGAAGGACAAGATCACAATGGGCAGCGAAAGGAAGTCAGCAGTGATCTCTGAAGAGAACAGGAGAACTACAGCGTTCCATGAGGGTGGCCATGCTCTTGTTGCAATCTACACTGATGGTGCAATGCCAGTTCATAAGGCCACAATTGTTCCTCGTGGAATGGCCCTCGGCATGGTGATGCAGTTGCCGGACAAGGATCAGACCAGCCTGACACGCAAGCAAATGCTTGCTAGGCTGGATGTTTGCATGGGTGGCCGAGTCGCTGAAGAACTAATATTTGGGGAAAGCGAAGTGACTTCCGGTGCTTCCTCAGACCTCAGGCAAGCCACTGCACTAGCAAGAAAAATGGTGACCAAGTATGGGATGAGCAAGAAGGTCGGTGTTGTTACTCACAACTATGATGATGATGGAAAGAGTATGAGCACAGAAACGAGGTTGCTGATCGAGGAGGAGGTGAAAGAGCTTCTCGAGAGAGCTTATAACAACGCCAAGACTATACTCACCACTCACAGTAAAGAGCTGGATGCGCTAGCAAATGCTTTGTTAGAGAAGGAAACTCTAACTGGGGCTCAGATTAAGAGTTTGCTTGCTCAAGCGAGAGAGGGGAAGCAGCAGCATCAGCAGCAGGAGGTGGTGGTTAATGCAACACA